TCTGTGTATTGGGAACTGCAGTTACGGAACAGGTGTAAGCAAGACAGACAAGAACCTAAAAAGGCCGGGCGTAGTGGTACATGCCTTTAGTCCCAGCACTCAGGAGGCAGAGGGAGGCGGATCTCTGTGAGTTCAAGGCTAGCCTGGTCTACATGTTAGGTTCCAGGCCAGCTGGGTCTACAAGGAGACCCTATCTCAAAAAGAACCCCCCCCCCAAAATAAAAAGAGGTGAAGGTCTTACTATGTAGTCCAGGTTAGCCTGGAACTTGTTATGTAGCCCAGGCTGGCTTCTAACTCACAATCTTCCTGCCTTAGCCTCTCCAGTGCTGGGATTACCAGCCATGCCTGACCATACCTAGAATTCTTCTGCCTATTAACATATAGGTAAGGAATGTTATTTGATATACTGGCCATCATGTGGTACTAAGGCCTACCTCTAAACACTTACATAAGCATGTATAACAAATGGCGGATTTTATTTATTTATTTTTTTGGTCTTTTTGAGATAGGGTCTCCCTGTAGCCCCAACTGGCCTGGAACTCAGTATGTAGATGAGGGTGGCCTTGAACTCACAGAGATCTGCCTGTCTCTTCCTCCCGAGTGCTGAGATTAAAGGTGTGTACCACCACGCCCAGATAAAATGAGAATTAAAAAAAAATTATTATTTATTATTGAGTGTACTGCCTGCATGTATGTAAGCATACCCATGTCGTGCAATCCCCTTGGAGGTCAAAAGAGGGTGTTGGATCCCCTGGAAGTGGAGTTACAGATGGCTGTTAGTCACCATGTGGGTGCTGGGAATCAAACCCAGGTCCTCTGCAAGAGTAGCCAGTGCTCTTAACTGCTGAGCTATCTCTCCAGCCCTAGAAATGTTTAATGAAGATGGTTGCAAAGACAGAAAATGGCTGCATTTCACAAATGACAGTGCCAAGGCAACAGAAAGTTGCCTAGCATTAACTAACCATTTTTCGGTGGACTGCAATGATGTAGCCTGTAAAGGGGTCATCAGAAAGAGGTGACATATGATCATTCGCTGTTCCATTTGTCAAGTTCTTCTCAGTTCCACATGGCACAACCGTGTTTGGCATTCCATTGGGGATGAATAATGGTCGAGGCAGGTCTCCATTGGTAGTCAGGGTAAAAAGTCCATTTGTAGATGGAGAAGAGGAGCAATCTATAAATTCAAAGATGTGTACAATATCGTAACTCTTACCCTTTTCCTCTGAGGACCTTGAACACTGACATCATTGATTCTTTTAACTCAGGACAGGGGGAAAAAAAAATCATTGAACAAATAACAATTCTACATCTATTGGGAGACTGTAGATTTAGAATTTACTTTTATAACTCATGCTTATAACTAAATGGCAAAGGAAAAACTGTGGTAACTGCTAAGTAGAATTTTTGCAGAAATCCACATGAATATCATGAGGTACTCAAACATTTCTACCATTCATTTTCTCTTTCCTCTCCTCTAAAATTCATTCCTCTCATAATACTCTATCCAATCTGGCCTTTAGCCAGATGTTGCTTTTTAAATTAAAAAAAAAAATGCATTCCCTAGTTTCAACAGCCACATTTCAAGTGCTCAGTAAATGAGTAAATGATGAATACTATACTGGAGGACAAAAACGATAATTTCCATCACTGTACAGTTCCACTAGACAGTGATCTTCTAAATAGAGAATGTTAAATCATCCAGTAACTCACCATCAGTACTACCTGTTTGTTACATGCCAATGAGAAGAGTCTCATTTCCTACAAAGTCCTTTAGAGTAGAGAATTAACCTAATTATAAGCTGTGCAATGAAGAATTGCTAGGTATGATGGTGCACACTTGTAATCTCAGCACTTGGGAGGCAAAGACAGGAGGATAGAGAGTTTGGGGATAGCCTGTACTACACAGTGCGATTGGGTAAACCTGAGCTACATAGCATAACGCTATCTCAAAAACTATGCTGTATAGCAGTTTCCTCTGAACTGAAATATTCCCTCTAGGAGGGAGAGGGAGGCTCATGAGATTTGGGAGGTAAATAAAAAGACAGCATGTCTGGGAAAGTGGAAACTTGCAAGATTCTTGTTTTGTTTTAGTTGTGAGCCTTTAGGGTGAGCCAATTCTCCGGTTAACTTGCAAGATTCTTTTTTTTACATTTTATTTACTATTTTTATTTTATGTGTATGCGTGTATTGCCTGCATGCAGGTAAGTGCACCCGTGTCATGCAATGCCTGCGGAGGTCAGAAGAGGCTGTCAGATGCCCTGGGACTGGAGTTATGAACAATTGTTAGCTGCCATGTGGGTGCTACAATTTGAACACGGGTCTTCTGGAAGAACAACCAGTGTTCTTAACCGCTGAGCCATCTCTCTAGCCCCAACTTTCAAGATTCCTAAAGGCCCCTGTTCAGCTTTAAAGAAGCAGTAAATAACTGCTAGGGGAGAAGATTGAACAGCTGAGCTTCAGAGAGGCAAGATTTGTCATACTGTCCAGCTGCTTGTAACATCCAGGGATGTAGCTTTCCTGAGTCCTCACCAGTTTTTGGTTTTCAGTGATGCACCTGCTTTTCTGAATCATCCCTACTCCTTAAGTAATCCCCCACCCATACTCCTGTTAGTAACCCCAATAAAAACTCATTGGTTCACCAAGTTGGACTTGAGTACATCATTTCTTTGGTCTGTTGTGGGCTCCCTTTCCAGAGTAAGTAGATGTTTGTGTAGCATCTCCCTAGGAAGAGCAGTGTGAGAGACTACCAAGAAGTACAGCACTTGTCTAGCATGCCCAAGACCTTGGGTTTGACTTCTAGCACCATAAAAAAAGACAAAGCATACGAATGGCCAAAACGACTTACTGAGTTATATTAAATCACATTCAATAATTGAATAGACAAATTCCTACTTAGCTAAATTTATTGTTTATGTTTTCTGGTAGTGTGTTTCTCTTATACCATCTGCTGCCATCTTACCATTACAAAAAAAAAGGTTTAAGAGAGATGTGAATGTCAATGGTATGTATATAAACTAATATCTACCTATCCAGCCTTTTTACTTAGTGTCTCTGAATTTTAGACTCTTCATCAGTAAAAAGAAATATCTGAGTCAAATGATTATTAGAATTGTTGCAAAAATCTCCAAAGATTTCCTCTGGGTTCAAAAATTCTTTGGAGCACAACAGATATAAAAAAGATTATAACTCCTAGACCAATGTTTATTACATTTAAGTGTGTGTGTGTATGTACATACCACAGCATGCATGTGGAGTCAGAGGACAACTTGCAGGAGTCAGTTTTTGCTTTCTACCTTGCAGGTTCCATGTAGGCCCCAAGAATGAATTCAGGTTGTCTGGCTTGGCTGTAACTGCCTTTACAGGCTGAGCCATTTTGCTAGCCCTAGACCAATGGTTAAAGGTAAGAGAATGAGAAAGAACTCTAGTTCTACCTTACCTGTTTGTACTGGACTACAAGCTGAAACTGGAGAAGCAGGAATGGGAATTTCAAATGCACACAAAAATCCACTCACTGAAAGTCGAACTTTTTGATTGTCCTGAGGGAAGTTCTATAGAAAAAAAAAAAAAAAAAGCGAGATAAGAAAGATAAAAATGGAAAAATTATCTTTGTGATGTATTTAAGGAGAATGCCTTGGGAATTTCCAACAGTTTTTATTTTTTTTGGTTTTTTTTTGACACAGAGTCTCACTATGTAGCCCTTGCTGGCCTGGAACTTTCTATGTAGATCAGGCTGGCCTCAAACTGAGAGAGATCAGCCACCACTCCCAGAAGCAGAACAAATAATCTTTCCTGACTAACTAAAGATGAATTTTGGATAAAATAACTGGAAATTCACCTCTCTGCCAAAGAAAACACTTATCTCTGTCCACAGGAAGGAAGTATGTTATGGATGATTGAACACTTTGCCTTTTGTTTTCACCATCTAAATGGCAAACCCTCAGAGAGATCTCTTCACATTTAATATAAAAAATGTCAGTGAAGTTGGGTGTGGTGGTACACGCCTTCAATCCCAGCACTTGGGAGGCAGAAGGTCATATTTTTTTAAATTCTCTAATTTTTTTTAGCATTTTGAAAAGTAAAAAATATAGTTCAGCCCTTGTTATCTTTACATGATTAGTTCCAGGACTCCACAGAAATAAAAAAAAAAAATCTGTCGATGCAAATCCTTGATATAAAATGGAATAGTATTTGCACATACCTAAGCATATCTTCCAATATACTTAAATCACTTTACTTATAATACATGTTACAATGTAAATGCTATGCAAATAGATGTTAGATTGTATTGTTTCGGGAAAAATGACAAGGAACAAAATCTAGACATGTTGTTTAGATGCAGTATTTAATTTTCTGAATATTTTTCATCTGTGGTTGATTCAGAGACTAAAACAGAACCTTTTGATGCAAGGGTTGACCTGTATGTTCATAAATATTTATCCATAAATATAGAAAGTAACCTAGAAGAATTCTAGTTGAAGAATTCCCTGATTGGGAACTTACATTACAGTAACATAGCAAAAGCTTGTCCTATGTGTAGCTGTATGTACTTCTCTAGAACTGCCACCATAATCTATTACTCCTTTATTCTGGTAGACAATCTTTTCAAATTTCTTGGTTAGAAAATGATACACATATATATTTTGGTTCTGTTTTTGATGTGTATGTTACATGTCAACACATATGTGTGCTACAACTCATGTATGGAGGTCAGTGGACAACAATCCGTCCACTATGTGGGTGCTGGGAATTGAACCTAGGTTGTCAGGCTTGGCAGTATCTTTACCCACTGAACCATCTCCAAGGCCTCTGTTTTTGTTATGTTTTAATATCTCCCTTGGTCACTTAACACAATTGATAACCATTGAGAAACCTATTTTTAGTGGATGGAATCAAGAGGTTTACTAGAAAGAGAAGTTAATATTACCTTTATGTTGGAACTATGCACTTCTGCAAGAAGGATTTGTTCTGATTTTAGTGCACAGAGATCACTCAGCTGCTTTTTCAAACCTGTGTACTTTTCATCCATGTTCAGTCTGAGTCCATATCGTATGGGGGTAGTACCATCTAACTTAATTACTAGTAAAGAGAAAGACGTTTTATCAGCAAAATGCAGGTAACAATGAAAAATTTTTTACACACTGTAAACAGATATATCTAAATTACAAGTAGCAAATATTTTAGCTTAGAGTCTTTTTTTGTTTGTTTATTTTTGAGACAGGGTCTCCCTGTAGCCCCAACTGGCCTGAAACTTGCTATGTAGATCAGGTTGGCCTTGAACTCACAAAGATCTGCCTGACTCTGCTTCCCAAGTGCTGGGATTAAAGGCATGTACCACGATGCCTGGCAATAGAGTCTTATTTTATATGTAAATGCCAAAACAGAACTTAAGAATAATATTGAGGGGCTGGAGAGATGGCTCAGTGGTCAAGAGCATTGGTTGCTCTTCCAGAGGACCTGGCTTTGAATCTGAGCACCAACATGGCAGCTAACAACTATCCATAACTCCAGTTCCAGGGGAATCTGACACCCTCTTCTGACTTCCGTGGACAGTGTACAACATAGATACACTTACATACATGCACACAACACACTCATACACATAAAAAGAATATTAAATGAAATCAACTTTTTAAAAATGTTCTTCTGATATACAAGTGTGAATGGCTTTACAAGTATTTCAAAGCATTTCTGGCATGTCTGGAATTTAAAAAAAGCACTGGTGAGCAAAAAACGTGCCCATGTTCCAAATCTTTGAAACCTAAAATCATGCCTGATTATGGATTGCTAGATTATAACATGCTGACTACCAATAATTATGAGAACTCATTACAAACAACTATAAATTCAGGCTGCCTAAATAAGGTAGAAGAAAGCTGAGTCCATTTTCAGAATTTTGTAACCTACCTGTTATTTCTAAATGCATATAACTGTCCATTGGTAGTGGCAAAGACAAAAAATTGAAAGGATCAAATCGGACACTTATATGCCCACATGTCTTGCATTTGACTTGGGATCTTAGCTGCCCATGAAACAAGTCTACAACAATTGATCTATTTCTCCTCAGATGGTTGTCCCAGGCCTGGCAAGGAAAAGAAGTACAAAATTTTACCTTCAAATTTCAAAAGATAAGCATTTCAACACAAATCTAAAAATGCTGATTAAGTATATATGGATTTAAATTCAAGAATACAATTCTTAATTTTCATTTAAAATATAAAAGTTTTCTGTCTGCAAATCTGTAATCCAGACATGTAATTTAAAATGCATCACCTTACTGCAAATAGACAAAATTTGCAATCCAATAGAATGTAATTCTGAGTAGTCTATAAAATAATAAATTATGGGCTGGAGGTATAACTTACTAGAAAGAATGCTTGCCTAATATACATGAGGCCCTGCATTCATGCCCTAGCACCACTGAAAAATTAATAGAGAAATTCAAGTGGTACCTACTTTTCATGTGTTCTTACTGTGGAAACAATGGCAAGTATTAGAGTTCTTTATCAATTAAAAAGCAGATAAAGCATGTATATCAGTCAGTTTATATATATTACTTTAGCAATTATGGGAACTGTATAAATTCTGCTGGATAATTACTCTTTTATCTTTTGTTTTGTTTTATTTTTTTGACACAGGGTTACCTTGTAGTCTCAGCTGGCCTGGAACTCAGTATGTAGACCAGGCTGGCCTTGACCTCACAAAGATCCACCTGCGTCTGCCTTCCAAGTGCTGGGATTAAAGGCATGTACCACCACACCCAGTCCAATTATTCTTGTATCTTGTTCCATAAAGCTTATAATTTGAAATAACAGTATTTTTCTATTTTTACTAAAGTGCTTTTGTTATGGTATTTTATTACTGTAAAAGAACTAAGCACAGAAATCTAAACTGTTTTCATTGTAAAATTCTAATCACAGAACATTCTTGCTTGCATTTTACCACATGTATTTAAAACATTTTATTTATTGCTTATGTAAAAAACTCAAAACCTGGTGCTGGGGAGATGGCTCAGTTAATAAAATGGGTGCCATGAAAGTACAAGGACTTGAGTTCAGATCTCTGGCAGCAATGTAAAAACCCCAGAGGCAGTGGTACACGCCTGTAATCCCAGTGCTGGGGAGATGGAGATAAAAGGATTCCTAGAGACTGTTGGCTAGTCAAGTTTGCAAAATCAGTAAACTTAGTAGGAGATACTGCCTCAAAAAAATACGGTAGAACGATTAAGGAAGATACCAGACATCAATGTCTGCCTCTACAAACTTGTGCACACATATACTGTCCCCCCTGCCCCCAGATGGTATTTATAAATTCTAAAGGAAACTCAAAACTAACAAACCTCTGCAGCTACTTCCCAATCGGGTCGGCCATCACTGTCCTTGAGTTCCACATATGGCTTCTCGTGGACTCGGTTGAGATCTTCATGAAGACCATCCAAGAGAAATGCCAAGAGTTCTTGAGAGTCTTGTTGCTGGAACCCATTAAACCTGGGAGCATATTTTGCTATGGTCCACTATAAAAATGAGGAGTAACAGTCATTGATATTTTCCCCATAAAATTTGGAAAGAGCATGCTCCATAATTCAATCATAAACACCATAAGAAAGTAAACAGAAGACTATTTAATCTTTTTCTATTCCAAATAGATGTTGGGTAATCATTTAATCTTCTTAACTTTATTCTCAAGTGGCCAAAAAAATGAAAAGCATTTTGTCCAATATTGTGTTCCAGTTCACTATCATGAAAGCAAACAAGTTAAAAAAAAAATTTGGCTAGCATGGTGGTGCATGCCTTTAATCCCAGCACTGGGAGGCAGAGGCAGGTGGATCTCTGTGAGTTCAGGGCCAGCCTGGTCTACATAGTGAGTTCTAGGACAGCTGGGGCTTATAGGGAGACCCTGTCTCAAAAAGACCAAAAAAAAATTTTTATTTATTATTTTTATTTTATGTGTATGTGTGTATTGCCTGCATGTAAGTAAGTGCACCCGTGTTGTGCAATGCCTGTGGAGGACAGAAGAGGCTGTCGGATCTCCTGGAACTGGAGTTACGGACAGTTGTTAGCTGCCATGTGGGTGCTGAGATTTGAACCCAGGTCTTCTGCAAGAACAGTCAGTGTTCTTAACCGCTGAGCCATCTCTCCAGGCCCAATAAACAAGTTTTTTAGTCATACAGATTAAAAGAACTTTTTTGACTGATTTATTTTTATTTTATGTGTATGAGTGTATTGCCTACACGTATGTAAGTGCACCCGTCATTCAATGCCCTAAGAGGTCAGAAGAGAGTGTTGGATCCCCTAGAACTGGAGTTACAAACAGTTGTTAGCCACTGTGGGAATCAAACCTGGATCCTCTGCAAGAGCAGTCAGTGCTCTTAACTGGTGAGCCAATATAAAATTTGCCCCAATATAAAACTTGTATACATTAAAATCTTTTACACTGTTACTTTTTTTTTTTTTTGTCTTTTTGAAATAGGGTCTTCCTGTAGCCCCAGCTCACCTGGAACTCACTATGTACACCAGGCTGGCCTTGAACTCACAGAGATCCACTTGCCTCTGCCTCCCAAAATGCTGGGACTACAAGGCGTGCGCCACCATGCCCGGCTTTTTTACACTGTTATTTTATTTTTTATTTTTTGTCTTTTTGAAGCAGGGTCTCCCTGTAGCCCCAGCTGTCCTGGAACTCCCTATGTAGACCAGGCTGGCCTTGAACTCACAGAGATCTGCCTGCCTCTGCCTCCCAAGTGCTGGGACTATGGGCACCACGCCCAGCTTACACTGTTATTTTTAATTGTACAGATGGATCTAATTATCTTACTAATGCTGAAAATGTATCAGGCACAATTAATTAGACTCTGAGTTCCACCTTTTAGTTAGAATACTGGGAGTAGTGAAGAAGCACTAAAAGGTTTACTCATACAAGAAAGACGTGATAAATTCATAAAATGAACAACATTCCAGATAGAGACTATGTCTTTAGTCTTTTCCTAGTCACTACAAACACAGCAGTATTTTATATTTACTTGAACAAATAAAAGATTGCATATCTGGGTTATGTTAGTGAAAGATCTGAAAACATGGATTTAAAAAGCTAATAGAGGGGCTGGAGAGATGATTCGGTAATTAAGAGCACTGCTGTTCTTGAAGAGGACCTGGTTTTGGTCCTAGCACCTACATGGAGGTTAACAACTGTCCATAACTCCAGTTCCAGGGGATCTGACATCCTTGGGCATTGTACAACACAGATGTACTTACATACATACAGGCAATATACTCATACACATAAAAATCATAAATGGGCAGGTGTGGGGCACAAGCCATCTCAGCACTTGGAAGGCAGAGGTAGGCAGATCTCTGTGAGTTCAAGGCCAGCCTGGTCTACAAAGCAAGTTCCAGTCCAGCTGAGGCTACAGGGGAGATCCTGTCTCAAAAGGTCAAAAAAAAAAAAAAAAAAAAGAAATAAAACATTTCTTTCTTTCTGTGCTGCTAGCCCTCCCACAAACATGGTGAACTTTCCTAAAACTTGCCGAACTTTCTGCAAGAAATGTGGCAAGCACCAGCCCCACAAAGTGACACAGTATAAGAAGGGCAAAGAGTCCCTGCATGCCCAGGGAAAGTGGCATTATGACAGGAAGCAGAGTGGCTATGGTGGGCAGACAAAGCCTATTTTCTGCAAAAAAGGCTAAAACTACAAAGAAGGTTGTATTGAGGCTTGAGTGTGTGGAGCCCAAATGCACATCTAACGGAATGCTGGCTATTAAGAGGTGCAAACATTTTGAACTGGGAGGTGGATAAGAAGAGAAAGGGCCAAGTGATCCAGTTCTAAGCCGATTCTGTGATGGAGACAATAAAGTCATGAGTTACTTCAAAAAATATATACATTTATTTAATTTTTAAAACTTTTACTATTTTTATTTTACATGTATGAATGGATTGCCTGCTTGTATGAAAGTGTACCTGTATTGTGCAATGCCTGTGGAGGTCAGAAGATGTCAGATCCCCTAGAACTGGAGTATGGATGATTGTTAGCTACCATGTGGATGCTAGGATTCGAACCAGGGTCCTCTGCAAGAGCAGCCAGTGTTCTTAACCACTGAGCCATCTCTCTAGCCCCAAAATAAATAAATAAATTTTTAAAAAGCTAACTAGAGAAAACATGCAATAAAAATTATAAAAGAGGGGCTGGAGAGACGGCTCAGTGGTTAAGAACACTGGTTGTTCTTGCAGAAGTCCCGGGTTCAACTCTAGCACCCACATGGCAGCTAACAACCGTCTGTAACTCCAGTGCCAGGGGATCCGACAGCCTCTTCTGACCTCCGAGTGTACGACATGGGTGCACTTACCTACATGCAGGCAATACACGGATACACATTAAATAAAAATAATAAATTTAAAAAAATTTAAAAAATTATAAAAGGACTGTTTAGGAATTATATATTTTCATATCATTTTTGTCTGCTTACCCGAAGCTTTAATGGGGCAACATTCTTCTGAGTTCCACTCCAAAGTTCTTGCACCAAATCACCATAGCATTTAGCCATATGCCCTTTCATACCAATGGGATTTGTTCTAGAAGTTTAAGAGGAAAATTTGTTACCAAAGACTTTCCACAATTCACAATCACATGGGCACAGAAATGACTATCAAGAGATATATTCCTTAGCCTTTTATTTCATACTCAATAAGGTAATGAAGGTAAGATTTTTCTCCCTCAAGTTAAAGACATTGAGGTGATACTGGATTTAGATCAAAGCTATAGGTTAAATTGCCAATGGTTCAAGAAAGATTACCTGTTGAGTTCATAAAGATGTCTCCCTGAGATAAAATACTGCGTCAGTGGTTGTGTGTTACTAACACACTGGATGCTTGAGTTCATGAAGCATGTGTTTCCCAGGTTGCTCAGACCTGTGGCTCCCTTTTCTGTGGGAACTGAAACAAACAGTATGAAACAGAAGCCCAGCTATAACAATAAGCTGTAGACCAATTATTTGCATTCAATTCAGTACTTCTATTTTCTGTTTTTTTTTTTTAAATATTTAAAAATTCTGTCAGGTGTGGTGGCACACACCTTTACTCCCAGCACTTGGAAGGCAGAGGCAGGTGAATCTCTGGGAATTCAAGTCCAGGCTGGTCTTCATAGTGAGTTCAAGGCCAGCTGGGGCTACAGGGAGACTCTGTCTCAAAAAGACAAAGACAAACAAAACAAAACAAAACCAATAAAATAACAACAAACAAACCCCAAACAAAAAAAAAGTTTAAAAATTTTATGTGTATGAGTGTTATGCCTGCATATATGTAAGTTCAACCATGTTATGCAGTGCCCCTGGAGGACTGAAGACAGTGCTGAATCCCCTGGAACTGGAGCTATAGGGATGGTTGTTAGCTGTTACTGGGTGCCAGGATTTGAACCTGGCTTCTCTGCAAGAACAGCCAGTGCTCTTAACCACTGAGCCATCTCTCCAGGCCCCTTTTTCTCTGTGTATGTGTGTGTATGTGTTTTGTTTTTTTTGAGACAGTTTCCCTGTAGCCCCAGCTGGCCTGGAACTTACTATACAGAGATCCACCTGCCTCTGCCTCCCGAGTGCTGGGATTAAAGTTTTCTGCATTTTTTGAGACAGGGACTTAATAGCAGAGGCTTGCCTCAAACTAGGAACCCTCCTACCTCAGTCTTCCATGTAGTGGTATTACAGGAATGTGTCACTACACAATGGCTTCCCAATGCGGTGATTTTATAATTTTTTAGTCAGCTAATTGGTACCAAATTTTTTTTTTAATTTAGGTCTTTTGAATGTTTAAGGTAATAAGTTTTTCATGGAGTGTCTTTAGCAAGCATGATCATTCTTGCCCATCTGGAACCCAGAAACGGCAAGTACTCTTTTTTATCATTTTGTTGGTATCTCATGCTAGACACTAAAAGTTCAACACTTAAAGGGTGAAGGCAGAGATTAAGAGTTGTTTTAGACCACGTCTAAAACAAAAACAAAAGTCCCAGAATTAAGTTTGCAAAGTATGTCTTTTAAAAAAATTTTTTTTCCATATTTTATTTATTATTTTTATTTTATGTGTATGTGTGTATTGCCTGCATGTAGGTAAGTGCACCCATGTCATGCAATGCCCTCAGAGGACAGAAGAGGCTGCCGGAGCTCCTGGCACTGGAGTTAGGGATGGTTGTTAGCGGCCATGTGGGTGCTGGGATTCGAACCCAGGTCTTCTGCAAGAACAACCAGTGTTCTTAACCACCGAGCCATCTCTCCAGCCCCACAAAGTATGTCTTTATGCTGGGCATGATTGTGCACACCTATAATCTCAGCACTAGGGAGGCTGAGCAAAGACTGAGTAGTCTGGTATATATACATAGTAAGACCCTGTTTTTGTTTTTAAATAATATTTAAAATTTATTAGTTGGGCATGGTCATGCAAGCCTTTAATTCCAGCACTTGGGAAGCAGAGTTCAAGGCCAGCCTGGTCTATATAGTAAGTTCCAGACCAGCTGGGGCTACAGGGAGACAGTCTCAAAAAGATAAACAAAGAAAAAAAAATTAAATTTATTCTTTGAGAATTCCATACACGTATACAATGGTCATATCCATCCCACCATTTGCCCTGAGACCTTTTTATTTACATTTTTATTGTATGTATACAACTGTATTGTCTGTATGTATGTAAGTGCACCAGTATCATGAAATTCCTGTGGAGGTCAGAAGAAGGTGTCAGATTCCCCTGGAACTGGAGTTAAGAACAGTTGTAGGTTCTGGGAATCAAACTCGGGTCCTTTGCAAGAGCAGTCAATGCTCTTAATAACCAATGAGCCATCTCTCCAGCCCGAGGTCTTGTTTTTTTAAATATTTATTTTACTTATTTTGTACGGGGGAGGTACATGTAATAGTGTATATGTGGAGGTCAGAGGACAGCTTGTGTTCTCTCCTACCACTGTGTGGGTATCAGGGATTGAACTTAAGAGGTCAGGCTTAGTGGCAAGTACCTTAACCTGTTAAGCATCTCACCAGTAGAGATCCTGCTTTAAAACAAAACAAAACATGAAACACACACACACACACACACACACACACACACATGAAAGTTGTGGGCATCTGAAGGCCAGAGATTGAATAACTTCTCCACCTTATATTTTTTCATTAATTTTTATTTTATGTGTATGAGTATATTGCCTGTATGTGTGTAAGTGCACCTGTTGTGCACTACCCATGGCGGACAAAACAGGGCATCAGATCCCCTGGAACTGGAGCTACGGGCAGTTGTTAGTTGCCATGTTGGTGCTGGGATTCAAACCTGGGTCTTCTGCAAGAACAACCAGTGCTCTTACACTGAGTCATATCTCCAGCCCCTCCACCTTATTTTCTGTGACACAGTTTCTTACTGAACCTGGAGCTCACTAAGTAACTAGGCTGGCTGGATCTTCCTATTTTTGCTTCCCCAGTGCTGAGATTATAGGTATGCACCTCAATGCACGAGTATTTTATTTTATTATTTTTTATATTTTATTGCCTGCATGTAGGTAAGTGCACCTGTGTCATGCAATGCCCGTGGAGGTCAGAAGAGACTGTTGGATCCCCTGGGACTGGAGTTACAGACAGTTGTTAGCTGCCATGTGGGTGCTGGGATTTGAACCTGGGTCTTCTGCAAGAACAACCAGTGTTCTTAATTGCTGAGCCATCTCTCCAGCCCCTCAATGCATGAGTTTTTAGCTGGTTGCTGGGTATCTGAATCTGGATTTATTTACAAGGCAAGCACTTAACCAACTGAACCATCTTCCTGGTCCCCTATGAGCCCAGGTTGGCCTGGAACTGGCAATTTTCCTGCCAGTCTATATTGCCTGGCAATACAGGAGAATTGCCAGACTATATTGCCTGGAACTGGCAATTCTCCTGCCTCTCCATCTTAAGAGCTGGGATTACTAAAGTATCACCATATCTGGTATATGAATTATTTAACTGCAAAGTTAGAAGAAATTTAGAAAATAACCTGATGTTGAGTTTGTTCAACGAGAACAAAAAGGAGTAAAGTTAAAACAGTCTCTAAGCCAGGTGTGGTGGCATGCACCTATAATCTTAACGCTCTAGAGACAGAAGCAGAAGGATCAAGTGTTCAAGGATAGCCTAAATGACATGGTGAGAAAATCTCAAACAATAAAAAGAAGTGTGGAGGGGGCTGGAGAGATGGCTCAGCAGTTAGGGGCATTAGCTGCTCTTGCAGAGGACCTGGGTTCAAATCCCAGCACCCACATGGAGGCTAACAACTGCCTGTGACTCCAGTACTGATGCCCTCTTCTGTCCTCTCTGGGCATTGCACAATACAAGTACTCTTACATACATGTAGGCAAAACACTCATCACATAAAAATTAAATAATAGTTGGGCATGGTGGCACACACCTTTAATCTCAGCACTCCTGGTGCACCACACCCAAATATTATTTAATTTGTATGTGTATGGGGGGCAGGGGGAGACAGAAGCAGGTGGATCTCTGTGAGTTTGAGGCCAGCCTGGTCTACACAGTGAGTTCCAGGCCAGCTGGGGCTACAGGGAGGCCCTGTTTCAAAAAGACTAAATAAATA